AGAAAGAGTTAAGAAGGAAAATATTTCCCAGTTTTCTTATTTCTTCAGTGTATCTTCGTTAAAGAACAAAAATCTTACTGCTCTTCTTCACTGTTATCAACTGACATTGCCAAATGAGACATTAAACATCCTCCTCCTGCCTTAAATACTGTAATTTAAATGCACTAAGGATCAGCCATGTGCACTCTCAGTTTAGAAACAGATTCTACTCTTAGGACATTTAAATCAACTAATCAAATCCATAGCAGTAAGGCAGGACTTGTAACAACTAAACAAGAGCTTCCTCAAACTGCCTGTAACCACACCAGTTCTACAGCATTAAGACTTTGCTATCTCTTTTAATACAAGACTATTGTCTACAGCTGCCATTTGCCTCTTCCACCTCGGTCAAAAAACGCTTCTGCCCCCTAAGCACACCCTTCCATCTCTGAATTTGTTCCTCTCTCCATTACTATTTAAAATAATGAAACATACCTTTGAGCTCTATATGCATTTGGAAGACACCTGAAATGACAGATTCTATACAAAATGAAAACTATACTATCATAGAATGGTTAGGGATGGAAAGGACCTTAAGATCATCTGCTAGACTACAGCTACTAATCCCTTTATGTAAGGCACAATTTAAAAACATAGCAACAGAAGGGCAAAATTTTTGCCTACACACCTTCCAGAAAGGCCGCGGATCGATGAACATTTATTTTTGCAGCAGTCTCAGTAGCCTTCCTCTGTCCCCACTAAACCTTTGCACCTCCACATCATTCCTATCAGTTACACCAGTGCAACCACTCTGAGTGGCTCCATGACAAACTGCACCAGGGAACTCATCTGGGTGCGACACCATCTTTTGTTTTAATTCTATTATTTTAACCCAGATCAATTCCCTGTTCAGTTAGCCACACATGCAGCTGTGCTCACACAAGACACAGCACAATACAAAAGTCGGAACAAACAGCTGGAACTGCTAAGAAAACATGATTGTCACAGTACAGAGTAAGGTTCAGAAGCTGGATGCACTCCTAAGTACAAATATTTAAAAGCAGAGCAAAAGGTGTTATTAGGATAGCAAAACATAAATATTGCCAATTAGTGGCACTGCAGTGGGACGAGAAGTCGTATCACTGCCACAGCAGGTAAGCAAAATCACAAACTCTCCATAAAGTATATCCTGCTCTGTGCAAAAGGCCCAGTGCTTCACAAACTGCAGTGCAGCGTGCACATGCGGTTTCCCTCCAGGAGCATGCTCCCAGAAACCTTCTGCTTGCATAACCTTTCACTCTTGTGAAACGTAGAAACCTGTACACCAAGAATTGGGCTTACATTTCCTGTAATTCACAAGCATTAAAATCAATTCAGCCAAGTCACAAGAAGAGAAAGGGTTATGTACGAATGCTCCTACCCAGCTGTACGTATCCCATCCAACCATCTTAAGACTTCATTTCCACTTTTTGTGAAAAGGAAATAAACAATGAGCATCCTGTCCAATCACTGCTCAAAGCCCATGCTACTACCTTCAGAACATGAGCCACCTTCTCCATTTTTTTCTTAATGCTAGCTTACTGGAAGACTAGCTTTATTTTTAGACAGATTCTTAGTTAACCATGGTTACTTGTAATTTAAAAATACAGGGATACAAAAATCTCAGCTCATTTATTTTTGGCTGATTCAAAGTTGTACCAAAAGTGCTTGAGGCTTTCTCCACAGTCTACATTCCTTTTATATTCCATTAAGAGACCTCTCTTAGTAGCAGTGGCAGCAGTAAACTGAATTTCATGTTCTTCACTATTAGCATTTTACCCTAACATGTTGCCTCACAAAGAACCACGCAGGAACCTCCTCCTTTCCCCCCAGGTCAATTAGCCTGCTTAGTAAGCAACTGCAAGCATGTAGTGAAACTAATATATATTTTTACCTAAGCAATACCTCAGCCCCACAGCTTCCTTTAAAAGTAGGGGGATCTCACCGAAAAGAAGCCCTAAATTAGTCAAATTCTTTTGTGCATGGATGAACAACAGGAAAGCAAAGCCTTGGGGCCTCTGGGGAGGAACCCTGTCCCTGCAGACCTACTCTGATGTGCTCGGGAGATAAGGCTCCATAGTGACACTTAAGGAAAGGCCTGCTCACATTTGAATTTCTGCATTCCTCAAGAACAATTCATGGCAATCACTAACTTTGCAGAGGAGCTACATGAAAGCTTCGGCCAATGAATGAGGGTCATCTGCTCTTTATCACAAGGGTAAACCTCATCCTGGCCAGTTTCTAACCTTTTAACCCTGTGAATTCTTAATTTGCACATGAATAATGGAATTCTTGCCAAGAGTGCAACCTTCAGCTTCCAGTTCCTAACTTTAGAAACCAAGACCTGATCTCCTTGTGTGTTCAAATCTTAAACTCTTGGACAGATTAAAGTTTTTGATTTCCAAATGCAACACTAAACATTACAGTTCTGAAGCAAGAGATAAGCTTACTGGCAAAAGCTCTGACCAAGCAAAGTAAAAGAACATCCTCGCACCCTGCTGCTACCAGTAACTGAAGGGAGCATTTGCTTTTTCTCCTCCAAAGAAAGAATGCCCATTTAATGCCTATTCTCCACCTGTTTAATATGTATAGTTCCTTCTGTACCCTGACCATGAGGTAATTTGCCTTCACAGTAACCAACAACTGCTTCTAAACAAAATTATAAGCCTACAAAATCCCCCACAAGATTTTAATTTATTTAACTTAAAAGGTCTGCAAAGTTCAATCAGCTCATGATACCAGGCACAAACACTGTAAAACTTTGGTATAAAACTCATTTTGCACATTTTATGGGCTTCAAAATACAATGATACAAATTACTGGCTCATTTCACAGCTTTACAGTGAAGATTACACTCTGAAACCGGTCAGATCTTAACATGACTAAAAAGAAGAGACTGCTACATAAGACAACTTCATGTTTGGCCCCTAGTTAACCACTTAATCGCTAAGTCAACAACACCTACTGTGATCATTATGGATCCACTATCCCTTCCAGTTTTCTCCAACAGCCATAGGAAACCTTTCAAGTATTCAAAGAAGAAACCTTTTGTCAGAGTCTTACGGGGGGGGGAAGGGCTACAAAACAAGAGGCTCACTCCACAGCATGAAATCTTTTAGTTCACACCTCTTCCTTGGTGAAAATCTTTATCAAAAAAAGCAAAATAAAGTTAAACCATATTTCTGGTGAAATAACATGCATCTGAGAAACAAACACTTACAGAAGTTCAGTACTGTCTGAATAAAACCTAATACTACAAGTGTATTACTGTGTTGTACTACTACAGTGCTGCACTATTCCAGAAGGTCTCCAATAGAGAGAACAGAGCTCACCCTGCAGTATCTCTCACTAAAATGGCCCTGAATTTTCCACAGTCCTACACACAGTCCATCAGCCAGTGACTTAACATAGTATTTATGAAGAACAAACTCCTATCCTCTTAAGATTTTATTCAGTCTGTTTATTAATGGTGCTGACGCTCTGAAACCTAGTGATGTGAACTTAAGTGTCGACAATACTTCTTCCCCCGTTTTATCAAAAGTATCCAAGAGCTGCTTGGTCTGTTAATCCTGTATGTAAGATGCCATGATACTAAGTTATAAGTAGCCAGGTTTTTGAAATCAAGAGTTCCCAGATCAGCTCCTTACACCACATGAAAAACTCATCACTTACTAGCAGCCACCTGCTGCCAGGCTCATTTTCAACTGCCCCATGCTCTGGCTCACTTCGCACCTTCCTGGGTTATCTTATGGATAGTATTTATAGTAAGTTCAGAAGCACACAGGAAAAACTAACAAATGTTAACATTCTAGCATTTTTTCACATAAGCTAATGTACCAATTGTATTAACTAGTCGCATTGTGATTTTGGTAAAACTTGCAATTTACAACAAATGCCAGGTTTTCAGAGAGACATCAGTGCCACAGTTCTGTGCAACTTGCTACTAAGAACAGGGTTGAAGAGGTCAAAGGAAGCCTTTTCCTATTAGATTAAGTTCATCAGTTAAGTCCTATTATAGAGGGAACATGAGAAGACTACATAAACTGTGTACTCTCTGTGTTACACTTTCTCTGAAAAGAAAAAAGAAAAAAACCCGTAGTGCTGTAGAAGCAGCCTACTGGCAATGCTTTGCACTGGCACGGAAAAAGGCATGGCATTCAGGTCCTAACACACATATGTTGCTCAGTGCATTTAAAGATGCTAGGAAAACAGAGGGCAACACACAGTCAGGGTCAGACAGTTAAAACCATAAAGGCACTTACACACAACTAATTCCTTCACCATTCATCTAGTAGCAGGGAGTCACCCTAGAAGCGTGACTCTCACTTCCTAGTGGAACCACGTAACAGGCCCTTAGGTCAGTTCCACAGGAGTCCCAGAAGGGACAGCACCCGCATCTGCTTGGCTGAATGCACGTGTCAGGAAAGCAAGAGCTTGGTAATATAACCCTCACGGTTGCCCAGAAAGA